ATTATTTAACTACGTTAGTTATATAATTAAAGTAGTTATCTCAAATTTAAATTCCTTTCAAAAAAATTCAAATTCAAATAATAATACAAGTAACAATAAACTTTAAAATCAACATAATAATAGCATAATTAAACTTTTAAAAATATTAAATATTACATTTTATAGTTATACTTACATTTTTAATCAAACTAATTCTGAGCTCCAAGAACTCAAGTACAATTTTCTGCTTCCACAACCATTACTTTATTTGCTAATTTGATGTCAAAAATTTAATTAGTAAGTTTGTTAAATTAATAATAGTTCGTGCATCACACGGGACAATTACTAGTCTTCTTTATGTTTATCTTTATCTTTATCTTTATATTTATACCATTCTAATAATACCATTCTAATAAGAGCCAATAATGTTAGGCCCTTAACTGGAATAAAAAAAATGTCGGTACTACTTGTTTCTTAAAATGAATGGTTCATAGTATTTTGATTTTAGTATTTTTAATGATTTTCCTTATTTACCCTTTTTTATATTATTTTCTTTTCTTAAATAACCTTAAGTTCCATTAGTATAAACTTTATTAACGAAATATTCCGTTAACTATTTATTATTCTTAACTTACTTATTAATTTCTATAAGAAAGGTCTTAGGTTCAAATCTCATTCCAATTAGAGTTAGCATAATTGTTAAGCATATACTACGAATATGTTAAAATGTATTAAAAAATAAAATATAAAATTTAACATAAACTTTGGTCAAATAATTAGCCCGACTAAATGCATAGCATTCAATGATTATAAATCAGGAACTTTGATAATCATTTGATTTTCTTTCATTAAAAAAAATAATAAATTTAAGTTCAGTTTTTTTTTTTTCATTTAATTAATCTTCTTTTGATTATTGAAAACAAAACTTAATATTTCAATTATGCTTTTATCAATGCATGAAAACTTCTAAAGAAATTTGTAAGTTAATTTTTACTATATTATTATAATAATATCTATTGTAACCTTATATTTTGAATTATTTATTATCATCATCTATTGACAGCAATTGTCATTGACAAACTCTTAAGACAATTTGTATCAACAACTAATGGAAATTAAAAAAAAAATTAAAAATCAATGATTTTATTATTGTGGATGAAAAGTATGTACGCCACTTTATTCAATCGTTATGCTATGGAACTATGTCCACCTTGCGATGTGGACACAGTTTTATGTTCATAATTACTGAACTATATGTTCATAATTATAAAGCTATATATTCATAATTATTGAACTCTATATTCACAATTACAGAACTCTATGTTCATAATTATAAAGCTATATATTCATAATTTTTTAACTTCATATTCACAATTATTGAATCTCTATATTCATAATTACATAACTATATGTTTATAATTATGTTCACAACTCTATGTATGTTCATAATTATAGAACTATATGTTCATAATTTTTGACAGTTTTGGAACCGTGTCCATATTTGTCCGCCTTGCAAGGTGGACACGGTTCCATATCATAATTTTTTCACTTTATTGCTCTTATTACTTGAATTAAAAAATAAATTAGTAGCTACAACAAAAAATAATATATATGCATTTAATTAATTTAGAATTAGATATCTAACAACACATGAAACGTACATGTAGGTGAAAACTACTACTACCAAATATCAACATGTGCTTGTAAGATAAAGAGTTCATAGCACAACTAAGATATCAGTCATATACACAACAAGACAAATCTAAAACTTGATACACCATAATCTCATTGCATGATGAATCCCTCTATGATATTACCAATAAACCAATTGCACATGACACACTACCAATAACCAAAAAAAAAAGACACGTACTGAAGATGAAAACAATAACAATGCTACCTAAAAGAGAATTAGAAAAATTTAAGCCAAAAATAGTATTTATTTAGACTATCGCTTTTAGACTTAGTACTTAGATTAACGTTATTACAAAGTTGCAAACATTTATTTTTGTGACAATTATACATAATCAATCTCTCATATATTATCTTGCATTTATATACTTTAAATTACTGATTTAAATAAACAAATTCAACATTTATTTACCTATGCATGAACATCTTCTATATAATATTGCATTGATATACTTTGAAATACTTATTTAAAAATAAGTATTGGGCATTATCCTATTCGCGCAAAGCGCGTAGAAAAACTAGTATATATAATAAAGCAGAATCTAGCTACAGAATTTTCTCTCCAAAGTGTGAATGCATTTTGATAGAAACAAGATTAGCAAGTATGAATGCATTAATTATGTGGGTAGATGTATTTATACATTTTTTTTTGAAGTTATTATGTGTATTTATATTTTATAAATTATATTTTATTATTATAGCTATATCTCTATCTCTATATATATATATTAAAGCATAATGAAGTATGAAAAAAAAGTTTATTGTGTTCAAATTTTTTGGTAAAATTTTATATTTAATATAATTTGTGTATATATTCATTTAAACCTCAATTATAATTAATTTGAATCCACACATATAAAGAGGAGAAATTAAAGATAAAATAAATATAGTTCTTACATAAATAATCTTTTTCAAATGAATAAGTTTTTTGTGGAGATTTTTGAAAAATATTGCATATTATTTTATTTACAAGTTTTATTTAAATACGTTAATTATATAATTATAGTAGTTATTTCAAATTCAAATTCCTTTTAAAAAAATCAAATTCAAATAATAATACAAGTAACAATAAACTTTAAAATCAACATAATAATAGCATAATTAAACTTTTAAAAATATTAAATATTACATTGTATAGTTATACTTACATTTTTAATTAAATTAATTTCTGAGTTCATGAACTCAAGTACGTTTTTCTGTTTCTACAACCATTACTTTCTTTGCTAATTCAAAGGATGTCAAAAATTTAATTGGTAAATTTGTTAAATTAATAATAGTTCGTGCATCGTACATGACAATTATTAGTAATAGTAATAATAATAATAATAATAATAATAATAATAATAATAATAATAATAATAATAATAATAATAATAATAATAATAATAATAATATATTTATTATTATATAACAAATTCATTTAAAAAAAAAAAACAAAAAACAAAAAAACAAGAGACATTTGCGGAGCGTCCAGGCTCCTCCCATCCTACGTTGAAATATAATGTGAAGAGAAGTTTTGAGACTCAACTAAAAAAAAAAAAAAAAAAACCTTTACTGTGCAGTTTATATATATATATATATATATATATATATATATATATATGTGGATGCACTCAGGTGCGAATAAGTGCCCAGGAAGAAATATGCGAACGAATCAGCGCGCGACACGTGTCCAGATCTAATAGCTTAAAAAAAACGCGGTGAAATTTTCGTAAATAATTGAACATCTTGTGCAAGTAAAATCACTTACAAGTGCACCTACTTTCACCTATAAGTGCATGTAATTTTGCCTTGTTAGCATTCACTTCCCGCAAACATTCATGCACATGGGTGTGTTTATAACTATAGGTGTAACTATTTATAATTATAGGTGCAACTACTTATAACTATAGGTGCACCTACTTTCACCTATAAGTGCATGTAATTTTGCCTTGTTAACATTCATTGCTCTGAGTTCAGCGGGTAGTAATACCCCTGAAAACCACCCGCAAACATTCATGCACCTAGGTGCAACTACTTAGAACTATTTGTGCAACTACTTAGAACTATTGGTGCACTTAGTATTGATGCATAGTGTAAATTTTTACTTGCACCTATAATATATTTTACATGCACTTGTAATACATTTTACTTGCACTTAGATATTCAATTATTTACGAAAATATCACCGCGCTTTTAAAAAAAATCAGTGTTTCTCATCCATTGGGATAAATCTAATGGATCATAAACACTTTTTAAAAAACGAGGTGATATTTTTGTAAATAATTGAATTTTGAAGTGCAAGTAAATTGTGTTAAAAGTGCATCAATGTGAAAGATATATCATTAAGTGCATCAATGTGAAAATGTTACTTTTACTATTATATATATATATATATATATATATATATATATATATATATATATATATATATATTTTTTGAGGGTCATTTTGGAAAAAAAAAATTCCAAAATGGTAATCCCTAAACCTTGTCCCAAAGTAGAGTGACAGAGTGTAGTATTTCAACTTTTATGGGTTCAAAACACTCTCTAATCAACTTATCATCAAACATGTTTTTGGCATTTTAAACAAGGTAAAACATTGAAGTGATCAAATTTACTGATTTTTTTACCAAAACATTATTTACTAAGCAAGTCCGGAAAATGGCACTTTTAGTTAAAGTTAGATTTATTTTTAGAAAAATTGTTTCCCTATCATGTCTATCGGAAGTAGTAGTCACTAAGACACTAACCATTCCATTTCGATGGAGAAAAACTATAAGGCCAAAACTGAAAAGCCCCTATAATTAGAATTGAATCTATTGTACTCTTGAGATATCAAAAGCATCATTTTCTCTTATTGTTATTATACAAGCATAATGATTGTCATAAAACAATATAATAGATAAATAGAATGACTATAATTTCTAGTTTTACCAGTCCTATTTTACATTTCTACGAGGAGCAGCCATGGTAAATGTAGTCTTAGTCCGTATCAACCTTGGATATACATGAATCTCTTCCCCATACCCCCTTATCAAGTCTGAAGTCGTAATTAATACCACGGGAAGAGAAGTTCCAACCAAAAACATTTGCCAAATCCTGCATCTACTGCTTATCATTTGTCTCTTCTGCATCTACTGCTTATCAAATGAGAACCATCCCTTAGGTGAGAACCTGCGAACTATTGTATGAATACATACAATCTAATACTCCGGGTGCACAATGCACATAATTTACTCGGGAATAGATTGTTTGCATTAAATTGTGTGCATTCATGCAGGTTCTCGATCACTTAAGGCATGGTTCTCATTTGATCTTGAATATATATATATATATATATATATATATATATACACACACACATACATACATATCATAACTCCACTCTGCCCTCACATTGAATATATAGTCCTCCAGGTCATCAACACAACTCTAAAAGCCATCTAGCTTATTGCCTCCGTAACAAAGGACAGAGGGAGCGTGCTACTACATTTTATGGAGATCATCTCATCTATCATCTATATCCTCTTTCTCTCTGTTCTTCTCTCGTATTGCATATCAAGGAAACAAGCAGCGAAAAGGAAAGAGAACTTAAGGCTGCCTCCGGGTTCAATGGGATGGCCTTATATAGGAGAGACTCTCCAACTCTATTCTCAGGACCCTAACATCTTCTTTTCTAATAAGCAAAAGAGGTCATGTTCTTCTCAACCTACTTCCTTCATCTCATTATTTTGCATGATAAGAACCGAGAACTGATGCTTGCCATGAATGTTCATAACAGATATGGAGATGTATTTAAAACACACATACTTGGATGCCCTTGTGTTATGCTGGCTAGCCCTGAAGCTGCTCGGTTCGTGCTGGTAACTCACTCCAGCTTGTTCAAACCCACATACCCAAAGAGCAAAGAGAAGCTCATTGGCCCTTCTGCGCTGTTCTTTCACCAAGGGAATTATCATTCTCAAGTGAGGAAGCTTGTCCAGAGCTCATTGTCACCGGAGGTCCTTCGCAAACTAGTTCCTGATATCGAAGCCATTGCCATTACTTCCCTGGAATCATGGGCCAACAAGCAGATTATAAACACATTCCAGGAGATGAAGAAGGTCAACTTCCTTTTTCTATTTTACAGTCACACACTACTACTGCCTTTCTATGTGAAACGTGTTTCTTGGCATATATAAAAATTATTTAAGTCCGACTCTGCTGTCTTATTCTTTAATATTACATCTACAGATTTGTTTTTAGTAGTAGGTTCAATACAGAGTAACTCAATAATCATCAATGATGGGTCCCTACTAAAATAATATGTTTTTCTCATGCATGATATGCTACAGTTCTCATTTGAAGTGGGTATACTTGCCATTTTTGGTCATCTGGACAAAAAGTATAGGGATGCTCTGAAGGAGAATTACTGCATAGTAGATAAAGGCTACAATTCTTTCCCCACAAACTTACCAGGAACTGTGTATAACAAGGCCACAGTGGTAAGTAAACCTCCCAAACATCAATCTCCAGTAAAGCCCCCCTCTGCAACTTGCAACTGAGTTTCTCTTTTTATGGACAAATTCTAAAAGGCAAGGAAAAGGCTTAATCAGATTCTCAGTGAGATAATATGCCAAAGGAAGGAGAAGAAAGTCTTGGAGAGGGATCTTTTAGGGCATCTGCTGAACTTCAAAGACGAAAAAGGTCAGGCTCTAAGGGAGGACCAAATAGCAGATAACATCATTGGAGTGCTTTTTGCTGCTCAGGATACAACAGCTAGTGCTTTAACTTGGGTTCTCAAGTATCTCCATGATGACCAGAAACTATTAGAAACTGTAAAGGTAAAATTATTAAATTTCTGATTCAGATCCCATGAATTACTTATTGATGTTTTGGATTTTTAATCCACCCTTAATTAGTCAATATTGTTAATTACAATACTCTAACAAAATACTTTTTAATTGCAGGCAGAACAAACAGTAATATACAGATCAAACAGTGAAGAGAAGAAATCTTTAAATTGGGCTCAAACAAGAAATATGCCAATAACATATAGGGTATTTACATTCCCTGCTATCAATTTTATAAGATGTACAGCAGTACAGGGAAGTCCTCACGTCAACCTAACAATTTGCGGTTGCAGGCCATATTAGAGAGTTTGAGGATGTCAAGCATTATATCTTTCACCTTCAGAGAAGCTGTAGTTGACGTGTTTTATGATGGTAATTAAAAATTGATATAGTGTTATATACAACGACATAGACTTCAAATCAGCTAACATTATTAAAGTTTTAATGCTTTCAGAAGACATTCTTGTAGACATTGAGATCACTAATTCTTGAATCTCATATTACAGGATATCTTATTCCAAAAGGATGGAAGGTGATGCCATTATTTCGAAACATTCATCATAATCCTGAGTTTTTCACAGACCCTCAGAATTTTGATCCATCTAGGTTCGAGGTATGTAAAGACAAAGATGCAAGCAATTTCTGCTTTCAAATTCTCTACTTTTCCAGAGAGGTAAAGTGAAAGGAGAAAAGAGAGTTTAAATGGTTTGTTGTTTCTCTAAAACATTTTGTGGTGGTGGATGGATGCAGGTTGCACCAAAACCCAATACCTATATGCCATTTGGCAATGGTGGACATTCTTGCCCTGGAAATGAGCTTGCCAAACTAGAGATGCTGATTTTAGTTCATCATCTAGTTACCAATTACAGGTAAAATGCCATACAAGCAGGACTATGTTCATTTCATTTGATTAGCTCAAGTTCCCTTTCTCTCAGCAACACCATAACTTTCTATACAAGTTACTAAGGAGGCCGTATTTATGAGAGACATCAAAGAATGAAACTTCCTTATACAAA